GATCGAGGAAGCAGGGACTCGGGAGTGTGAGGGATATAAGGCATGCCTGCTGTGTTAATTGAAGAAGAAAATTATGCACAAACCTGAGAGAGTGTAAGATACTCTCCTACTGTCATAAGGAACTTGGAACGTGGCTACGTTGAAGTGAGTCCATCGTAGCCAGTGATTCATTGGTGAGACGCGTTGGAGGGGGCTGGGAGGTTGGTGTTGTGGCTGGGGAGTTAGCGCGAGGCAGAATCGAAGAACGCGCGCACGTGACTTGATTGTAAATTTGCCCCCTCGATTGAGAAGAAACAGGAGCCTGGTTGGGTAGGGAGATTTTGTGGATGCTTGAACTAGGAAGACTTTCTTTTCTCCTTTGAATCCAAAGGTGACATGATTGAGGTCGGTGCCGCTTTCGAGGAAACATAAATGAGCAAGGAGAAAATGTATAGAAGTTTGAGGAATGCATTTCTATATAACGTCTATTAATTCTATCTTGCACTTTGTTCTAAAGCCCTGTCATTTTAATGTCTTCACAACTTCGCCCTCCTTTTTGAAGCAGCTACCTCAGCCTGCACTCTCGCTCTTCGTCCCCTATCATACTCTTCCAGATCTAACCCTTTCAGAGAAATACTCAAAGGCCCCACCACATCCTTGAATTTGTCAGAAGCCTGAGTCGAAAACACCCAACCACGTGTAATGACCTTGTAAAAGTCCGCCCAAAAGCACTGCGGCATGCTTTTATCAGCAGCAAACGAGATATTCTTCTTTGCCTTATCGTCAAGGAGCGTTTCTACGTGGTGATCAAAGGACCGAGGAACGAACGATTCGGCCCCGGCATGGACAACACCACGAGTACCGGTTGTAGCGTGAAGCAGAATCAAGTTCGAAACCCAGTCGACGGGAATTTCATCAAAGATATTGGCTCCTGATTTGTGGCCCTCGGCTGCATGTATGATGCCCGTACCTGGATTCAACGTCAGGAGCTTGAAACATTGTTCGACGGGAGTGGCGCTTATGGGTCCATAGAGTGGGAAAGGCTGAGACATCGCTGGGCCAATACAAGTCGGGCGAACGATAAGGACAGGGAGGTTTGGATATCGAGAAAATAAGAGACGTTCTGTGAGATGTTTTGCGTATCCATAAGGCCATGGGAAGCTGGATGCATGGAAAGATGTCCCAGTGGTTGTGATTTCCTTCAGCTCTTCCTCGGGATCACCGAGGGGGTATATTTTCTCTTCGATGATGCCATCTGGTCGGTTTGAATTGCAGTATGCAGTGGAGATCTGAACGAATTGACGGAGCTTGGGGAATGAAGAGGCCATCTTGGCAAGGTATAATGTCGACATGCAATTGTTGTCGATGGCCTGTCGGATAGACAGAGAGAAGGAGGTATTTGCGGCCTGCAAGAGACAATTAGAGCTCTGTGCTATAGGGTTCCTTTTGAAAGTCCGAAGACTTTCACGATGAACAAGCAGATTATACGCACCGAATGTATAACGATGGTTGTTTTGGCGGCGATCTCGACAAGACAGTCGGGAGCAATACCAAAATTTGGCTTCAGAATGTCTCCCACGACGAGTTTCACTCTGTCGGAGTTCAGGATCGAATCGATCTGCCTCGGCATCGTTTTGTTCCATGTCGCGCGAGCTTTCGATTCCGACCTGCAAAGGACGAAGATTTTGCGTGCTTGCAGCTCCGAGGCTAATTTATACAGAATGCAGCCTCCTAGGCCACCGGTTGCACCTGTAAGAAACACAGTTTGGTTCTGGAAGAAAGAAATATAATCTGGCCTAGAAAGTCCCTCCATCGCACTTATCGTGTTCAAGAATATAAGCAGAAATGCAACGTGAAATCGGGAAATGAGAGTGCTTCTGAATGTAACTCTGAGGCTGATAACATGCCCATGGCACTTGGCCATAATCTTGAAGGTGCCATCAATAATGTACCTTGGTACATGAGTACATGGCTGGCTGGAGCGCTTTGCAGCTTGTTCCCACTACGGGACGGTCGAGGCTGTGCAAATTGCTTCATAATTGGTTGCCCTTGAAAATTCTCTGTGCGTTTGCAAGAAGAATGGGGCATCGAAGTTCATTTTTGAGGAATTTTTAGATATTTTCTCACGCGATTGGTTTGGCGTTCAGCCGCATCGAAAAGTGGCAGCTGGGCTTCCAGCTTGACAGCGGCTGGGGCGCATTTTTGTGGAATGATGAACCGATGAAATATTTGATTGGATTTGAATGATGCTCCCAACAGAAAACGTGGTATGCGGCATCACCAATCAATTGACAGAACATTCTCGCGCGCCGCGGCCAGAGCAATGACAGAAACGTTCAGTCTCGAATGTTGGTTGTTTAGGTTGAGATGATATTTGCTTGACCTCTCTCACTTGAGATGATAAGATAAATCCCGGCCCAGGCACAATTTCCTTCAACACAAAAGACGAACGCAAAGCGGAGTACAAATATATATTACATGAAGTATATCCCACCTCCAGTCGGGATATCTCCATGCGAAACGTGTACGATACAGCTGAGCATCGGTTGCACTTGCACCGGGCAGACCGATATTTACGGTGAAGAAAATTACTGGAAGGAGTTTTGCGGGGGATCCATTTGCGTCAAGAAGAGTTGACAAGCTTATCAGGTGGAGAGGATGCTGGAAACGGGAAACGGAAGTGCGGGGCGTCGTCAAAAGCTGCTGTTGAGAAAAGACCCCGGTCGCCACGGTCTCCCCGTGCAGGCTCGTATATGGAGAAGCTATCGCATGAATACAACAAAATGTAGAGTCATAGATAAGCACCCCTAGTGCCCCGGAAGTATAGCAGACATATAAACCAACGAGCTTGAAAGTCCGGATGCAAGTAGCCAAGCATGAAAAAAGCAAAGCAATTTTGCCCCTGGCGGCGCAGCCAGCCCTATGTACCACAACGCCATTTTAAGGCCCCCTCTCCTCATTCGTCTGATCGTGCTTTGACATCGAGCAAGAGAGATCGACTGGGGGATCAACAGAGCGAGCGGCCGACTAGCTCCACTCTAGGGCGATTATGAACTCGACGAGGAGGACGGTTCGATGTGTATCCGGAGTTTGCTGCGCCAGCTTTTAAGGATGAGGAATTGCGCATCGCGATGGAATCAGGGAAAATAATGGGTTATCGGCGAGGTACCGATTCTTCGGGAGGAAGTGAGGCCGTTGCTAGGGTCCGCGGGGGATGAAAGGGCCTCGTGGCGGCCAAGCCTCCACTGTAATCAGCGGAACAATGCATCTTTGATGCTCACGTCAGACTGATCATTGGCGCAAACCCTGCACGCCGTCCTCAAATGCAGTTTGCTCGCAGCTCTTCTCCATCTTCCTTCAACATCGCGCAATCCATCACGAAGTCATCGCAACCATCATGGCGAAAACCATCTTCACGACCATCACCCCGCTCCCCGCAGGGATATCGCGGGAGATCGTTCTCGAAACTCTCCACGACCATCTCGAGATGATCGACCTCAACCCGGCGCACACCGAGCGCCATCGCATCAATCCGCCACCAGAGGCAACCCCCGAAGAGTATCATTGCACATGGTACCAGATTACCGACAAGATATCGTACCTGCCTGGCATCAAGGGGAGCGTGTCGTTCAAAACATGCTTCCACGATCTCGCAAACGGAATGCAGAACCACGTGTACGCGCCCATGGGCTTGGATATCAAGGAGAAGTGGACACTGGGAGGAAACCTGCCAGGAGAACCGGTTCAGCCTGCGGAGATTGGTATAGGTGCGCCGATAAGTGGGCTATATTTGCGGGAGGATATCGAGCTCAAGTGCAACTTCATGGTGACCCGGTTTGTGAAGAAGCAATTGAAAGATGCTCTGGCAACGTTGGTTGCGAGGTTGGTGGTAAAGGCGCAGTTGCAGGAGGCATCGTATAGGAACCAGATGTTGCAGCAGGGCTATGAGTACTCTCCACAGTCGCCGCAGTTCGCTCCTCCGCTATCACCACCATTGAGCGGCGGATTGGATATGCAGTTTCCTCGACACAGCTTTAAGCAGCAGCAGAATAGGTTCTCGACTCAGACCGCTGTCAGTGAGATGGATGGAAGTCAGAAATCGCCGGGTTTGGGTCGTCAGCCAAGTGGAGCGCATCCTCAGGGGATTGTGGAATTGCCGAGTTAAGGGGGAGGAGATGGATTTATGATAGATACCCTTGGAGTTTGTTTGGAGTTCGATGGTTTTGCGATGGTTTTTAATGAAAAGGTTGAAGGAGGATAGAAATTCATCAGGATCAACTTCGGAAGGCGCGTCACGTGACTAGTCTCTTTCAACGTCTTGTGCTCCAATTTACAGACCAATGTGTGATATTCGAGCTAATAAAGATTGGAAGGTCTAAGGAAGGATGGGTAAACTTATTTTCGTGTTTTCTGGACCTATTTATGTGTTGAAAATGGGTCAAAGCGGGCAATATCAATACTGACCAAAGGTGGTCACTAAGACTAGCACTAGAGTAGAAATCTTTTGTGACATTAAAGAGATATCAAACACTGGTCAAGTGAATCCAAAGTCTCGCAAAATTCCCCAGGAGGAGACGAACATTTGTAAAGAGATTTGAAACACTCCTGACTGGCTATTTGGTGTGCTTCCCTAGTTCTCTTCCACTCCCCTTTTTCAGAGCGAAAATTGGATGACAGCAAGATTTTTCTACTAACTTCTAGACATCTACCACTTGCTATATGGGGATTGAGCCGCCAGGCTCAATCTCCAGGTAGCATTCAGCGCAGCTTCACAGCTCGTTTCTAGTGTCTGGGAGTGGATCGGGGTGAGATTCCCGCGAGGCCATGAATAGGATTCCAAGTTCCTTTATTCAAAAATAAAAGTTCTTAGGGCTCGGTTATCTCCTACAGGCTCTTATCAGCACCTTAGCCCACCAAAACTTCGCTAACTGACATGTCCACACCACATCCTCCACACCGACAAAAAGAGAACAAAAAATATATTTTCTTGGGATCAATTGAATGAATTGAACATTCTTTACTGGACTCGCGGGGAATCGAACCCCGGACCACTCCCAGACACTAGAAACGAGCTGTGAAGCTGCGCCGAATGCTAAGGGCTAGAGGATATATTAGTTTTGATATATTGGAGTGAGTATTCAGATTAACTCACAGTATTATACCACTAAACCACAAGCCCGCTTTGAATTGTTGTGCAGGAATGGCTTATTTCATCATATGAAACACCTAGAGAAAATCGGGTATCGTTTGGTGGGCACGGTGGGTTGCTTGGGCTCCCCGCACCTCCCTAACTTCGGGCCCAAATTCGAACACCACCACAACATTATTTTTTGCATTTAGCACTCAGAACAACTTGAACGACTATAACTATGAACGAAGAAACTTATATATTGGCCAATTTCTATTTGGTGTTGCCCAATATCAAGTTTTGAAAGTGGTGATTCTTCGGTGCGACCCCGCAGATAAGCGAGCCACCAGCCCACCACCTTAACTCCGAAATTTTGTGGCCTGACAAATCTGGACATACCAAACCTTGGGTTGGACCCAATCATTCTCATATCTAATTATGGCCCTACTCCTGTAGTCTTCAAAGAGAGCATCTAGGGCAAGATAATTGTTCCAAGTGCCAAAGGCGCAAGTGCGCTTAATGTAGTAGATTCTTGTCTAGATCTCAACACCAGTGGGCAAGCATAGCAGAAATTTCAAGTTGAAGGTTGGCCCTCGGAAGACTTCGTGAATGTTCTAAGAAAGGCATATAATGTGTCAGTGAGCCCAAGGTGGTGCTCTATATAGGCAGATAGGAGAAGTTCGGCCGATATCACGTGCTGTCTTCGTCTTTCACAAAAACTTACGATGTTTCCAACTTCCCATGTGTGTTCCATTAAGTCCTTTACGGAAGAGAGTATTTGAATCCCTTGAGTGTATTTAAATCCCTGAGGAATAAAATTAAAGACTTAGGGATGTTTGACTTTTTACTTCAGACGTGAAGGCCTAATAAAACTTATCCGAGAAAGAAAGATTCTAGTCCAACTTTGGATCAAGACTCAAGAGACTCAGTCTTAATGAGGTATTTCCCGCTATTGCTCCCTGGGAGTAATTTAAGACCCAGGTAATATTCTGCAATATTGGCAGCTCAAACTCTTTCTTTCTTTCTTTCCTTCCTTCCTCCTTACGAGGAAGAAATAAAAACCATACCCACTCAAGGTATGAATGACAGGTCGAACATCCGCAGGCATTACCCATTTTCGCACTCTGTGTGGAAGCATATACTCTAACTTTCGACATCTACATAAATTGCTCTACTGCCTCTCTTCCTCCTCCCTGTAAGGAGGCAAGCTGTTCTTCTGCTACTAAAGAGGCGGTTTTCTCCATCGTCGAGACGATCTTCATTCTTCTCATTCGCGAGGAACTATTAAAATCGGTTCTCCTAGCCAAGCTCCATCGACAAAGACAACCTTCCCGCCTCTCTGAAAGCGAGATTTCCCGAGATCATGTCAGCATCGGGCATTGGACTAACATCATTCAATAGTTTGGCCTTCATATGGAAACAAAGGACATAAAATATGCAGTGAAACACTTTTAGGAGCTTTGTGAATGTGCTTATGATCTTGCTAAGTGAGCTATCTACGTGAGCGCAACTTTCGACGGAAAGTTGAAAACCTTATGATGCCATATGTGCGTTCCATTTCACCTTCATGCCTGTCCAGCAAATTGCAATGCCATTGTTCCATGATATCAGACCCTCCATTTCACCCTTGTCAATTGATGCCGGTGTAAATCCATGCTAATTGTTTGTCAACAGTCAGATACCTTCCGTGCATTTCCGAGTCCTCTGAAGCTAGGTAGAATAGCCGTCATCACAATCAAGCTCCATATCGCCCAAAGAAATTTCATGCTGGAGCTCCTTGTTTCGGTAGTAAGCCATAAGGCTATCTTGATATGCGAATCGCTGAGCAAGACCAGGCTGATTGCGTTGGATCAAGTCTTCACGAGAATTTGCGGGATAGTTGTGTCTATGGAGCTCTTTGCTTTTGTGGTATGCAACGATACTGTCTTGCATGGCAAATCGTTCCGCTAGTCCAGCTTCATTGCGGCGAATAAGCTCTTCGCGGGAAAGACCTGAGTTGATGTCATGATCGTGTGAGGAGCTTGAAATGTCTTCTGACGTAATGCTCGAATGAGAAGAAGATGATGGGTGTGCAAAGGAGCATTCAGCAGGACTACCTTCCATCAGGCCTTGAAGGGAGTTCTCTATGGAGATCTCTCGATTAAGCGAGGAATCGAAAACTTCATTGAGGTATTGAGGACTTGAAGGCAAAGTATCGTTCAACTTAGAGTCTTGCACATTCATTTGCAGTTCTGATTGCTTTGAATAAGGTTTGAGCGTTCGAAAGTACCGACTCTTGACAGTCATTGCATTACGAGTGGGTAGTTGCTGGGCAATCTCAGACCAGGTGAGGAGATCGATTTCCTTGCCTCTGATGATAATAAGGTCTTCCTCAGGGGTAAAATTTTGTCCGCTGCTCTGACCACGTAGCATCTTGATGGTCACTTCGTCAGGTCGGTGATCTCTGACAACCTTTGTGAGCTTTGTTGCATAGCGCTTCTGAAGAGTCTTCCAATCTCTGCCGGGGAAGTGATTCGCGAGGTCTTGCCATGAAAGTCCGTCAATCTCCTTCAGTCTAATGATTCTAACATCATCTTCAAGCGTATATTTCTCTCCTGGAGCTGATGTCTCTCGTCCGAGAACAAGATGGGTGATCTGCTCATCTGAGGGTCTGCTATGAACACGCTTGGCATCCGTATCACTAACAAACGTCGTAGGCTGTACCAAGCGAGTGTTGAAAAGGACTGGGTTGTTCAGATTGAGCACTCCCGGTAAAAAATGAGGCAATGAACGCTCGGAGTGTGTGTTTGAACTCGGATTAGGAAGCCTGTTGTCTGATAAGAGCTGGCCTATGACCAAAGGAGTCACCGGCGATCCCAAGTGAAGGCTCAAAGCAGCAGCAAATTCGTCAATCTCTTCATTCTCGATATGGTCCTTCTGAACGTGCGAATTCATTGCTTTACAGGTCTTGAAAGATGAATTGCAGTTGAGACGAGGGCATAGAAACGGTCGGTCAGAGTTATTGATTACAGATCCGTGCTCATCGGTATCCAGGAGGAAATGGTTTCGATTGCCAACACCCAGTTGCTTCTGAGCTTGCATGTTCTTCGACAAGCTACTTTGAATTAGCTGAGTCGCAACTACTGATACAAGGGGGAAGCTTACTTTCGTTTGTTTACGCTCACTCCAGTCATGAACATCAGAGTCAAGAGATAGTCGTGTGCCGTAGGATAATCCTCAAGAAGCTCCTTTGGGCGGTTTCCTTGCTCGATCTTTGCGATAATGCCTTGAAGGGTTTGGAAATGAAGCAGAGATCGTCTATCCGCTTCGTGTACGAAGAACATCCACAGATCAAGTTTGCGGCAAAGATCAAACATTGTCTTGAGGCTGTTGACGTTTGTGGAGAACCCGTCGACTTGATTGACTATGAGGAGAACTCGGCCTAGATATCCTTTTTCCTGCAGTTGTACTAACCAGCTTCGGACTTTGACTACTCCAGCATTATTTGACTCGGAAAAGTTGGTATTGGACGACTTGTTCTTGATAAGAGCCCAATGAATGATAGGCAACTCGGAATCTCCATTTCCAATATGTCGAAAATAAACTTTGACGAGTTCTTCGCTACGGCTTTGGAAGTGTTCAGTACGGATTTCAGAGTCTTTGTTGTAACCACTCTCGCGAAATATGACGAAGACTTCAGGACGAGCAGGATCATTAGAAGGTTGACCAGAGACGAGAAGAGCAGGAACCATTGTATCTTCAGAGCGAATGGCGTTCTGAGCATTTGAAGATTGCTTTGTGGGAGGAATGCAGCCAAACATAAGCTCTGGAGGTACCGATATCGCAAGATCTCCTGTCTGTCGCTTCAAATGATCCCTATATCGGGTTTTCACCGAATGCTTATGGCGATTTGGGAAAAGCTTGACAATATCAACCCAGCTCGCAGAATTGAAGCATTCGTATGCGCGAATCAATCGAACGTCATCTTCTTGTGTCCAGAGACCCTCGTTCGTGGAGACATGGGTAGAAAGTTGCAGCGACTCAAGAACCTGATTTGAGGGACGGTAATTTTTCTTGGTATGACTGTCCATGGTTGTTTACTGTTTGCTTATGTTAGCTATAGACGTATCAAGGCACAGGCAGTGCGGATGAATGTACCAGCATACCTTAACAATACAGCGTGTTGAAAAACCGACTACCGTCTTTTCAGTTACTTGAGATGTGATTGAAGATCTAGTAAAAATTTAGTACTGTATTCAATGTTCGGCAGCAGTGGAGACTATAGTTGGGGAATGCAAGGCAAAGTTCTTGGCTTACCTTGAACAATGGACTCACGGCTGCTTCGACTATGAACAACGGCACTAAGAGGTATTAGTCTGATAAATTGATGGAGAAGTGTTAAAAGCTATTGTTCCAGCTTACCTTGACTGATTTGAAGAAGCTGGAGATATGTTGAAGTCGTCGACGAACTTGGCAGATCAGGAATTCGCAGGACTGGACTTGGTTATACTTGATTGCTGAAGCTGGGTTAGCATGTCATTTTTTTATAATGTTGTTGATTTGATTGTTCCAGCTTACCTTGACTGAATTGGAAGCTTTATGAAGGTGCGTCGAGGGACACAAGGTTAGACGAGGCGGTTGCAGAATCGTCAATGGGAAGTTCTTGCTGGCTAGAAGCTGATTAGCATGGTCTCTTGATGAAATCGTGACTCTTTGATTGTTCCAACTTACCTTGACTGATTTGATGAAGCTCGATAGAGAAGCGTTGAGGGTATCGCTTACCAGACGGGGAGAAGCAGAAGTGATGATCGGGAAACTTCTTGACTACTGCAATATGGATTAGAATCGCCCCATTGTGTTGGATATGGGGTGCAATTCATTGTTCCAGCTTACTTTGACTGATTCGGAGAAGTACGGAGGGGAAGACGAGGACGCGTCCGGGTGATGGTGTGGGCAGGAACGACCTTGGGTGGGTTCGAAAGAGGTAGGAAACAAGGATTGGACTGCTGAAAGAACGAGAAAGAAGTCTGTTTGATTGTCAGCAACACAATTCAATGTTCCAAACGGGTTTG